CCGAAAATGGCCACAGTGGCCGTTGCTGTGGCCCAACATCGTGAGGCTCGTCCGAGCTACTTCTTTGTCCGCATTGCACCCGCGTAGCCTGTTCCAGCCACAGCTCCTGCGAGTATATTAAGACCCACTTTTCGTACAATCAGCTGCCCCTCAAAATCCTCAAGGTGAGAGGCGACTATCTTGTTACTTTAGTTGAGGATCGGCTGACGAGCCATGCTTTGCAGACGTGTATTCGTTTCCCCAACGCTTCCATCGCGCAAGAGACCTGCAATAAACGATGTCAACACACACTACAATCGCTGGAGTATCATCGTGCCGCAGCACGGAATCTTCACACTGCTCTCAGTCCGAGTCGACGACAAGGTCAGGAACTTTGTCCACAGATACCCCGAGCCCGGACCAGAGCTCTAATGCAAACAGCGAAAAGTTATACCAAAACAACATCTACACAGGAAAACGGGTCTCCTTATGGGCGCGTCCGATCGAACACTTCATTGAACGCTTGGTTCCGAGTAGAACACCCATTCCGACCTGCTCTGATGCCACACAAGTTTTCGACATCAAGACATATGCACCCGAACAAAACTTACACGAACCCGTGGTAAGTCTGGCCATCTAGGCACTCCGGGTTCGGCGACTGACCAGCCGTAGTTGGCAGGATTAAGGAAACTCATTGCAAGCTTTCCGGACGACAAACGGCTGAAATTCCACAATGTCGAGCAGCCGATCAAGTTCCCATATGCGCTAGAGGGCTATGAGAATAAAGCAACCACACCCGACATCATATGCTCACATCCAAAAAATGCTAATGCGTGCCTAAGCCGGCCGCAGTGGCAAAATATCTCCCTAGTATTTGGAGTCAATTCTAACGCAATGGATGATCCCATGGCCTTAAAGCATGTAACCCAGCTCGCAGATAGCGCCCAAAATATCCTAATAGCAAATAATTGCCTTTTTACATTCGCGGTTGGACTGTACGGGAACATGGCGAGGATCTTCCGCTTTGACCACGCGTCGATTATCGCCTCGCCGCCGTTCGATTACGTCGAGCGCGCGAAGCTCCTGTACGCGTTTCTGTGGCGTTTCGTGCACCCAATCGACAGTTTGTGCGTCGTCGTAGGGGCCGATCCCACCGTGCAGCCAACGAGGCAGGCAGACTGGGACTTGGCGGCGGCCCTTGTGAAGAAGCACAACAAGGGCACGTTTGGCGCCGAGAGCCATAGGGCTTGTCGCTGGATCATACGCCAAAAGCCGTATCTGATGTATGAGCGATACCTGACGTTCCGGATAGTGCACATGCACCCAGAACTGTTTTCGCGTGCGACAACGGTGTGGGAGGCGTTCAAGGAGGGAGACGACAGCGGCCAGACATATATCATTAAAGACGCCTGGCGTGAGATGAAGCACCGTTTTGAGGCGGGCTTCTACAACGATATACTTTCGGGCAGTGCTCCGGGACAGCTTGAATTCGTAATCCCGGAAGACAAGCAAGTGCACGGCATCGCAAAGGTCGAGGCTGCAATCGATCTGGGGGAATGCGAGTGCCGAATGTACGACGAGGCATGCAAGCCACCAAATACTTCCGCGGCGAGACCAGCAGGGGCCGACGTGTCGCAGACACAGCGGATACCATTCTATATGATCTGCCATCGCACTATTTCTTATACATGGAACAGAATGGGCGAGGAGCGGAGCCATACGCGCCTGTTCGTGAAGACCGTCGGCCGCCCAATTCATCAATTCTGCAGCACGAGAGAGCTGATTGAGGCCATTCGGGATGCCATAAAAGGCAAGCCCCAATCAATACAGGGCCGAATAGTAGATGCTAACCCTGTATGACAGGTCATAAGCTAGCATTTGAAGCTGGTGTTCTGCACAGGGACATCAGCCTAGGAAACATATTCATCGCTGACCACGAACCATGCAAGGGATTTCTCGGAGATTTAGATTACAGCTTCAATTGGAAAATGTACCTGCGGGCCCAGCAGGCGTTGCCAACTTTAGAGAGCTGGCTGCAATTTGTGCACGATGGTAAGGGTATTTTTGCTGATGAAACACATCTCTTGACTGCGGAGGAATTGGAGGAGCATGCCAAGCAAATTGGCCCCACGGCAAGAACTGTGAGTGGATAAACAAGTCTGGGGTTGAATGGGAGCTGATATATATCCAAGGGTACTTACTGCTTCATGGCATATGAGATCTTGCGAGAATCCGTCGTGCACGAACCTCGTCACGATCTGGAATCATTCTACTGGGTCCTCCTTTGGCTCGTCCTCAGACATACTGATCACGATCACGAAGATGGGAAGAAAGCTTGGAAGACGATCTTCCACCACGACGATCTGTGGGCGATGGCGGTTGCCAAGGGCTGCTGGCTCTGTGACCATGCAGGCATCAAGGTAGCAAACAACGCGCCATTGACAATGCTCCTAGATGTGTTTGGTAAACTATGTCGGAGAAGTATAAGGTACATGGATTCTGAATTTGTGCCGCTCACATATGATGCCGTTCTGGCTGCCTTCCAGCGTGCGCTCGACATGCCGGAATGGCCAGAGAATGATGCAGCCATCCCTCTCAAGACATCAAAATCCGCGCCACCAGCACATAGATGCCGTAGCAAGGCAGAAAATAACCAGGACAAAGTAGAGAATATTGGACAAGAAATAGGAGAAGCTGCTGATGGTTCAACGGATAGCGATGCACACAATCTCAACGCAAGTAATACCTTGGGCATTGAGCTCTCGGAATTCGCAAGACCATCAGGAGAGAATGTTGCTGCAAGGAGTCCGGAGCGAGCCAACGACCATGTCGACACCGAGCTTGTCCGCGAACTGCGAGCAGTAGTCAGCTACATTACGAAGCAAGAGAAAGACGCGCAATGGAACCTCGACGAACCAAGTTCGTTCACTTTCCCCTCCTTGAGCAGGTTGAAGCGGAGCCGCTCGACGTCGGCATTCCGTAGTGGCGCGTCGAGCAGGGCTCTTGTGTCTAAGAGAGTTCGCACTTCCATGGACGACGAGGAGATCTACGTGTCTTTTCGCAGACAGTCGAGGGCAAATGGCAGCGCGGTGTCATGAGACTGGCGGTCCGCACCACTGTGATCGGCAGCCAATTCATTGTGTAGCTAGATTGTGGACTACAGCTTATGTCTGAATGGATGGTGTCTGGTGCATGTGGCTTGGCCAGCAACTTGAAGGCCCATAGTATGGTCAGATCGTCGGGACATCAAGCTCGGTCCGTAGATTTAGGACCTCGCTGAGTATGTACGATAACCGACGACCTGATGCGCCCCTTCTTCCCCGTCCTGAGTCCGTTTAAGAGCGTCGCCGGTAGAGCTTGTCGATGGTGGGACACTGGAGTCCAGACAGCGTCGTCATGCAAGGAAGACCGGCGTGACTTCGTCCGCCAGCCTCTCGCGCGCCGTCACATTCCCGTGATCTTGTTACACCCGATCGTGAATTGAGTATTCAGGACCTTAGTGCTAATGTCAACCTAGCAAAACACATTAGCATTGAACTTGACAAGCAAGTTGCGGGTTTTGAGAGAGAATACACAGCTAAGCGACAGAGTTAACTGCGTAGACGACCGTATGTGAAGGTGACGTCATTCAAAATTCACTAGTAACTCAGATCCAGCATACTAAAGTACGTACGCGCCGTTTCGCTCCCATATTCGGCGACCCCACGCGAAAGCGTCCGCACTAGAGTGGCCCTCGTATCCCTCAGCCCGGAATCTGCACGCGGAGGTGACGACTGGTCCGTCGTGCAAACACTGGTAGAGTACACATTCCTACTCTACTTTTTTTCATACATGCATACACTACTCCTCCCTCTCTCTGGCCATCCAGTGTACCCCGACCACCCTCCGACGTTCACCCGCCCGACAGGTGGCGTCCGATGCCTACGCCACGACTCAGCCCGCACACGCACACGCACACTACGTACTTACTGTCTACATAGGGCGCGGCCCTCGAGGGCAATAAAGGGATTTGTTTTTTGATTTAAAAAAACATACTAGAGACATACTGCAGTGAGTCGCAGAGCATCCTGCTATAATCGAACCACATAGTATAATTTGATAAATATGAATTAATTGACATCATGCAGCCGAACTTCCCCCGTCTAGCCCCATCTTCGACGCAAGTACGGCGCAAAAATCCTCCAACCTACGCGAAACATCCAATCATTTCTTGTCATCGATCGCCAGACCTGGGCAAGACATGTAGTCGTTAGCGCATTGCGCCTAACAAGGGCTTCGACTGAGGTGCACAGGATACCATCTCATGCACGACAATAAGTACAGCGTAATCGCGCCGATGAATGCAACGGCCGCAGTCGCAGCCGTCCCGTCGTGACGCCTGCATCCGAGCCCATCAGCGCCCGAAACGAGCAGAACAAGCCGCCGGAAATCCACGTACCAGCCGACCGACCGACCGCCGAGGACAGCAGCCATATGTTAACGGCGACCCTCACAAAAGCCGGACATGCGCCAGAGGAGACCTTATCTGCGCACCCTCCCATCGCTCGATGTCCAGCTTGGTCGCCGGACGCTGCGCCGTCCCCTCAACTTCGTTTCTGCAGAACAGCCCCAGCATCCCGTCCCGTCCCGCCTTCATCCCCGCGCTTGGTGCTGCCGTCTCTTGTGCCGGTGTCGACGGGGTCCGCGGGCCCACATTGCTCTGAGCTCGAGCTGCACAGAGGGACTCTGCGGGCACGGGGCGTCCGACCGCTACAAACTGCCCTGCTGCCGCACAATGCTGCGGCCGCGTGCACCGGAAATGCGACGCTGGCCAGCAGCCGTTGAGGAGTCGGCCTGCAGAGCACCTGAAACAGCTCGTCTGGGCACTTATCGTCGGCTGGCTATCAGATAAATGTCCGTCCGCGGGTGGGGCGTGCGCCGTGCGCTCTGGATCCGTGTCGCCGCTGCGCGTGCGCTGGCACCGAGCTGCGTAGTGCAGACTACCACCGTGCAGCCGACATGGGCACCGTGCCACTCGTGGACCCGGGGTGCGGCTGTCGACGTGGAGACGGCAACCGGTGAGGCCTGTGAGGAGGGGGGAGCCACAGCGATCCGTCCAACTATCAAGGCATCGGACGTCCTGTGTTTCAGCGGAAATGGCTGTCGGGCACCTACGCACTCTCCACATGGGCCTGCCACGAGGGCCCCACGGGTCTCAGCAGCACCGTCAGCCTGCAGCGAGCAACGCATCTGGATTGCAAGCCTGAGCGCGGCAG